GCTTAACTGGGTCCTTTCAGACAAATGAAAATGCATTTTAAAAAAATGGCATTTATATTATTCAGTGTATCTTTAATGAAACACAATCAAACACCACTATTTGATTAAAAAATAACCTGTCAAATAACCAGGCAGAAAATTAATACCGTGAATGATTGGTTGTCAGCTGAAATGTGAAAGGTTTCTGCTGTTAGGCCATGGGAATGAATTTGAATGGTGTGTTCTTACTTCCAACCATTTTTTCCCTCTATGCTCATTATAAGGATTAGCCTGAGACTTAAGGAAAAGCATATCCTTGACTATTTATGGATGTCTCTTGAGGTTCCCATGAATTACACAGCCCTGCCCATCTGCAGGAAAGCTGCTGGCTGTACACAAGTTACTTTGCAAAGAGAGGTGACTTTGGTTAAAAAACAAACATTGCCCCACAACTCCCACTTCTCAATTCCTTTTTTTTTTTTCTCCCTGTCGCTAAAGAAAGGTGCTTTTTTTCTTTTTTTCTTTTTTTTTGTTGCTTCCTCGTTCTCTGCCTTTGCCACGTGCCAAGTTCCTCAGTAATGTCACTGGCCTTTCTTCACTCTAATCTGTCTCTGGCTGTCTTGCTAGACAGCCCTCTACCCCGGTTATACCTTCCGGCACTCCATCAGATGTGATGCTGTGTTGGGAACAGCAGGTTTTGTGCCCCTGGCTATGACTAAAGAAAAATCTTAGTGACTGTTGTGGAGTCCCTGGGCAACTTTCCCATCAGAGTGGACAATAGGCCTTTAAAGGCCCAAATTCCAAAACATAGAGCATCATCCACCCCCGTAATTCCACATGGAAATCACTTGCATTAGTGGGAGAGAAAACTCCTGTAATGTTCTTGGGGGGTGGGGTGTTTTCTTTTTCCCCACCTCCTTCAACAGTCTAGTATAAGCGTGAAACATTTACAGATTGTTTCTGTTCCTGGGGTGGAAGCGCCTGCCCAGAGCAGTCTTTCAGCATTGCCAGGTACTCTCATGTAGCCGCGGAGCAGACCCTGGCACCGTTGCTTCCCACAGCTGGTCAGCACTGCGTGGTCAGCCTTGGCTTAGCCAAAGGGCAGAGATAAATCTTTGTGTGTAATGCCTGTACGTTTCACTCCTGCACTCTTCCTCTGAGCAGTGAAGGCTTACAGGGTGGGTACAGGCTTTGAAAAATGAAGTCTGCTCGTTTTCTCCCAGTTGTACCCTTCAAGGAACCCATATATTGGGGATAGATTGGCAATTCCAGTCACTGTCCTACCACAGGGTGATGGAGATCACCAGGGTCATGTTATTTGCTGGTATTAATCAGTTTTGACTTTGTTTTGCAGGGCTAGAGTCCAACCACATTTTTTTTAATTGAGGGGGAGAAACAAACATTGAATCGACACAGAGGATCTCATCAGTCACCACTGCCATTCAGATTGGGAGGGCGCTGCATCACTGACCAGGCTGCAGGTTCTAGGAGGATGTGGGGAGAAAACACAACTGACTGCCATTGCCAACCCCGGAGCACCATGCCTTACAGCGAGACAATTTGCTTTTTAACTCAGTTACATTCCCACTAGAAATAACCACCACCTCCCTCTCCCTCCCACCCCTGCAAGAAGAAAGAAAGAAGACAAGAAGGGAATCCAAGCTTCCATCTAGCTGGCTGCGTTCTTAGGTGACTCTAATGTGTGGATAGTGCCAAGTATGAGAAGTGAAGGTCACGCAAAGAAGACAGCTTCACAAGAGAAACTGCAGAATATTTGAAATAATATCGTAGGTGTAGCCATGAAGATAAATAGCACTTTTCTGGTTTGGGGCTCATTGTTTTGTTTTTTGTTTTGAGGGATTTCTTTTGAACTGTGAATCTAACATTTTTAAAGGCTTTTTGAAAAATGTTTAGGTTTTCTTTATTATTTCCACAGAAAGTGCAGGAATGTTGAGTGGGTTTATTGGATTTCAATGAAGGGAAGAAGTACAGAACAAAAACTATTAAACTCTGGTCAAATGAACTGGAGAGTGGATGACAAAATTGATGCAAGCTGTATAATCCGCTTTTAGAGTAAGCTATATCAATCACAGTGCTATATTATCATTATAATCTGGTGTACAATACTTCTGCCTTTTGAATTCTGTAATGGCTCTGTTTTTATTTCCACATATTGAAAAGCAGTTTATTGAAGGTTTCAGTGTCCCTGGTTCAGAAATCTATGCTGAAAAATGGAGCTGGCTGGCTTTTTATTTTTGTGTTCTCAAAGATTGCAATAAGGAGCTTTTATATTTTTAAATGTACCGGTGTTGCATTGATGATGATTAACAATTTCTTTTGCCATAGCTGTTAACACATTGGAAGAAAATAGGAGCTATTTCGTAGGATGTCTTATTTTGAACATGCTATAAATTTTAGATGGGTCTGTCACTTATATTTGATGGTAAATTTATCACTGTTGGATCCATGTTTGCTTTGGGCTATAGATCCTGATGAAAAACGCCACAAAGGGAACTGGTTTGGCATTTTTTAAATCATCATCGTGATTTCTGTGTTCCTTTGGCTTTGTTTTGAGATCACGTATTTCACGTGGTGTGAAAATCACCCATGTGCAACAGTTCTCCTCTAAGACGCCAAGGCCTGCTTCGTGTAAGGGGGAATTTTTACCTCACGAGAACGTACTCTGCATATATGGTATCTGGTAATGCCGTGAACTAAACGACTTCAGATCACTGGTTTTCTCCAGGCACTGGTCAAGGGCGGGCAGCAGATGAGAATAGAAAGCAAATGTCTCACTAGTAGCATCAGAGGACTTTTGCTGATTTTGTTTGGTTGCCACTGTTCTTTGATTGCCACGTGTAGTTATAAACAAGCTCCTAAAAACGGTGTGACTGGAAAGCACATTTTTGAATCTAGCAAACATCATTTGCGGTTTTCAGTGCCTGCCGTTTCCTTTGTAATTAAAAAGGGGAAATATCCAACAACCTCACCTCCCCCAAAATATTACTGTAATAGTAAACATCTAAAATTTTTGTAAAAAAATTTTAAAAACTTTAAAAAAAAAAAAGCAAGTACCAAGAGCTTTGTATATTCTTGAGTATATTAAAAATTTGACATGAATACATATATATAAATAAAAAAAATCTATATATCTATATATATATATTGTTGTGCAGAGGATAGGTTAACAAAACCATGTAAAGTAGTTTGCAGGAGAGGGAAGCATTTGTTGATTCAGGGAAAAAGACTGATGCCAGAAGCTGTCAGTGATGTGGGTGATACGTGTGCTCCTTCGCACCCTCCCTTTTTGACCCTCATCTTCCACGTACGTTGCAGCGGTCACTTCTGGATCCTGGGGAAGGTGAAGTTGCTTGGAGCAAATTAAGATAGCAAAGATTTGCTTTTTCACCTGCATGAGAGTCCTATTGGGCCAAAGATGCTCAGCGGATCAAGGGAAGCAAAGAGATACATCTGTGATTATCTGCATTTGTGTCGGGGCAGTGTCTCTCTGTGTGTAGACATGAAGTGTGGCAATGAAACCAGATACATAGTCTGACTGTATATTATATCAATGGTGCTCTTTTCATACTTGTTCTGCCAATACGCGGAGACCCTTTTAACCAAGCTACACAGAAGAGTTTTATATCACTTTTGGTTATGTACTTGGTGTATTCTTTTTGTATATGAAAGGATTTTTTTAAAAACGCTCAGTAATTAGCAATGGAACCTGCTTTGTAGCTGATTAGAACAGTGTAAGAGAAGGGCCGTGCTGTCAGACTGTCCCTGATCTACTTCAAACCATATATTTACCAAAGGAGTCTGAGCAAAAGTTCACTTAAAATAAAAACCTGACTGTTGAAAGGAGTCTCTGCTAAGAGTTTGTGATTTAGTTATTGTACAGATACTTCAAAGCTAGCAAGAGGTTAAGAGAGAAAACTGCAGGAAGGGGGAATTGAAGTGACTAGGGGCCAGTTATGTCCACGACCTCCTATCCCAGATAACCTGTGGCTCTCAGTGGGGCGCTACAGGGACACTCAAAATCTGGATCAGAATTTAGTTAGGTCTCTGTCATTAGTGGGGTAAAACCACCGAGGAGTATTTGAGAAGCAAATTCAGACCCTGTCCCACTTTCCCCCAAAAATCCTGTTTGTATTTACACTGCATCCTGTGATAAGCAAACCTCCCCGTCAGGTTAGATGGCGGCGGCTGCCCAAGGTCATTGTAGCAAACTGTTCTTTGTTTTCCTGGGGGTAAGCGTTCATGACAGCCAGCATAGTTGTGAGCTGACAATGTGGTTTATTGCTGCAGAAAAGCAAAGGGTGGTGTATAAAGAAGTCAAATACCAAGTCCGTGGGCCAAGACTTCCCCTGGGAATCACACGTCTTACCCCTGCCCTTCCCATGCCTTACAGTAACAACAAATTCCCAAGTACGTAGCAATAACCCATCATTTACATCACTGTGGTTTGTTTTTCTCATCAAACTTGTTTGGATATTGAGGAAGGAAAATGGATTGGGGGTGACTTGCATGTGAGACTATCGCCTGGTATTACCAGCCCACCAGCTGAAGTCCAAAGCAAGGTACTTTGAACCAGGTCTGGTGATTTAATGTCCTTTTCATCTGTGGCCACAAGCTCACTGCGGGGCGATGTGTGCCCACACCTGCCCTTACCTCTCCCCTTGTTGGCACCAGTGTGACTGGCTGTTTGAGCTGTTCTGGGATGTGGGTGGACGAATCTGTAATTGTTGTATTTTGGCAGCAGGGACTGTATGTAAAGAAGGGAAAGCGGCAGTGTGTGTGACTAAAGCTGCAGTAGGGTCTAGAGTCTCCTGCTAAAAGGCAGGCAGTGCTTTTTAGGGCTCAGGTATGTGACCTCCTCTTTTCCTGTTGGCTCCACTGTGAAAACTGGAGAGAATCTGCCTGCAAGGGGCTGCGTAGAAGAGATTTCTACCTGCAGAAATTCTACTGGGAGGGATGGTTGTGGAAGGAAGCAGTCCGTGAGGGCTGAGGTAACATAGGGGAGAGGGGGACTTCGGATGGTATATAATTACTGCAGAACTTCCTTCGCAGGGAGGTGACTTGCACATCTCCCAAGCATCTTCATTAAGCTGTGGAGGTTTTAAAAGAAATATTGTGTGTCGAGACTCCCCTGGAGAAGCATCAAGTTTGGTGTTGAGCGTGCGAGCAATTGTGCTTGCAGCTTCCCGGGTCAGTCTGTCTGTCTGCAGACTCCGAGGAGGATTGTGCAAAAGCAAGGCTTTAGGACATTTTGTTTCTGTCAGGGAGTTAAATAGCAATTTAGCCATAAGTGTAACTTGACAACTCAAGATGTGTTGCCAGCTTGAAATGCTCCCCAGAGAACAGCTTGGGCAGCCGTAGGTCCTGATCTTCAGTGCCTTCTGGTCAAAACACCTGCCTATCCTAGTTCTGCTCTCGGGCACTCAGACGTGTGGATTCTGAATGTGTCTGTATCAGGAAAGCAAATCTTGTCTCTGTTGCCAAGACACCGCAAAAGGGACTGACTTGGGGAGCAGGAACTGACTCACGGTGACGCATCAGGAAAGCAGGGGGTAGCGTGTTTAACTGTTACAGTCCATCAGTAAGTTCTTGCCAGCTCTGAGGAGCAGTTTTCAGTAATCCTTTCTGGCATGCAAGGCTTATGCTAGGCAAAGCAGTTTTCACTCCTAGAGCAGTTCCATGAGATTGAAGGTGGTGAGTTACCTTCTGTTACTTGCCTTACAGTTGAGCGTATAGGCTCAGCTACCTGTGGGAGAGGTGCACGTGTTGAACCCTCTGAGTAAGGAAAGCTTCAGAAGCCAAACGGGCACGTTAGAGTGGTTGTAGCCTCTTCTGCTGTCCGACTGCCCGCTCAGTGAAAACTACGGTGTGCCAATAACTTCAGCCAGCGTTTCTGTGCTGTTGGGGTGGAGTCATGCACTCACAGTTTTTGAAGATGTTTATATAGGCATAGTTTCTTGCAAAAGTTCTTTGGTTTGATGCCCCTAAAATCTCGTGTTTCCTTATCTTCGACAGAGGAACTCTCTGTTTTACTGGTACAGTAACTAATCTAGTGCATTTAAGGGGAAGGTATTATGAACCTTTTTTTTTTCTGTCTTAAGTTTTACATCAGGGTAGGATGTTCTGAAGTCCAAGGTGGGAAGGAAGATAACGCAGATACTACAAGGCCTGCCAATCTGGTTCTTACTGTTCAGAAAAACAAAATAACTAGACTAAGAAGCTTACTGGTAATTAGTAGCTAATGTGTTTGTAACTATCATGTGCCTTAAAATTTTCATGGTAGGAGAATAAAAAAAAAAAATCAACAGTGTGTTTTCTGTAATACTGCTCAACATTCTCTCTGTAGTTTAGACTGGTGGGATTTTGCATTGTATTTACACTGTACTATAAACTGAAACACTTAGAATGGTTTGATTTTACAAGTATGGAGAGGAAAAAAAAAAAGGTGGATTATGTTTTTCATAGAACAAATGTTACCGTGACAGAATGTATTATTACTATAGGATCTTTCCATAATGCAGACAAGTAGAATGCTTGTTAGAAACCAGGTATGTAGGATAACAATTTGGTGTGTTTTCAATAAACCATGCCTGGAAAGAATACATGTGCCATTGTTTATCTTTTTATTACATAAAGAATCTCAAATATTCTTTGGCTTTGCAACAGCATTTTTCTGTGGGCAGGGATTATTCAACCCCAGCTCAGGTCAGCACTCTGTGTTAGTGAAAGGTCAGTGGTAATGAGGGCAGTTGGAATATCCTTTAAACTGGTATAGCTGAAAATTTTTGATTTATTGCCATATGCTGGAGTTGTAGCACGAAGTCCTGTAATGATCCTGCAGATCATGGGGTTTTTAACTTTTTAATATACAAGCATATTTCTGTGGGAAAGACGCCTGCGTCGCTGTTCAAAGGCCTGCACATTTGGGACCACAAGCCTAACTTGCTGATGGATTTTCCATTTGTGAAGTTATCAACCTGTCCCAATTTAATCATAAAATCCATGTAACTTTACAAAGATTTCTCTTTTCTGAAATGTGTGCAAGTATTCTCATAAATACAAGTGTGTAAGAATAACAGAAAATCTTTATCATACCAACGTGAGTTTTGGTTGAGATGAGAAACTGTTATTTTGAGGATGTGCCAAACATTTCACATTTGTTGTTGCGTGGGGGAGAAAAATCCCGATACCGAAAAGTCAACCGTGTATTTCAAGTAGCAGGCAGTTACCGACAGATCTTGATTCTCTTGCGGACTGCCTCTCCCGGGCACGTTCATCTGTGTTGATAAGATCAGTAGGGAGACTGATGCACCTAAGCACATTGTACTTACCGCCATGCCTTCATGAAGCGTGACAAAACCCAGTACATCTTGACATGAGTGTTCTGCAAGGTCTTACAGATAGAGCGGAGGTCAGGTTTTCTGTGAGTGAAAGGTTGATGAATCATTGCCAGTAACGGAGTTTGCCATATGTTAATGCCTGATTGTACCTTTCACAGCACTGTAAGGTTCCATTTACTTGTGAATGCTTGCAAACAGCACTTGGAAGGTCATCTTCAGCTTGCCTGCCTTCCTCATTTCAGATGTCCTGAATGCATCCCCAGGAGTTTTGTAAAATCATCTCCAGATTCTGTTCTTGCAGCTGGAGGATCCAGTTTCACAAGTGCTGTGGTAAGATGTGGGCTTCTGGGCTAGGTATCATCAGCGTTCCGCTGCAGTGAGGAATCGGATTTTTTCTTTGTGGATGCACTAATAGGCGATGAATAGCAGATGCTGTAGGTGAGGTCCTGAGCTAAAACAAGTATGTTGTTTCTACAACTGACCTTTTCTAGCTGTCAAAGTGATTTCATTTCCAGCTTATCACAGGTTGGGCAAATGGAAGCAGTGAGTCCTACAGGTGAAAGGTTAACCTGGTCACAACGGGCAAGAAATATCGCAGCCCTCATCTGTTTCAGGTTTCAGCTGTGCCTTGGGGGAATATGCTGTCTGCATGGGCCTCTTCCCCAGCGTCTTACTGTCAAGGTCTCTGTGCAACCGAAGCACAGCAATGGCAGAATCTCATTCCAGTGTGAGCTGACAGAGAGGATTTTTTTACAATGGGAGATTGTTTTATAATGGGACCATTAACTGAGCTGTAGAGGCAGAGGCAAAGACTAAAACTCTTTTGCTGCATTTAGTGCACAGCAAACACAGCTAGCTGCTACGCAAAAGATACCTTAGGCTTGATTCCTAATTGATTGACAACCAAATAAGCATGCATCGCTGCCCCAGTGGTGTCACATTTGGTGAGAGAGTTGGGATCTCAGCGGTCTCTTGCTGCTCTTGTAGGGGTTTCTGGGTTTCTCTTCATTGTGTCTGATGTTGGACTCATTGCTCAAAATTCTTCAGTGGGGTGCTTTTCACTTCATCCTACCAGTGGGAGGAAGCACAAGCTCCTGTACAAATGTATGATGACTGCTGTTTGCTCTAATGAGTAATTTCTGCTGTAAGGATTGCTACCTGGATGCTGTTATGCTCAATTTGGTATTAAATTGGGAAGCGTAAGGGACTACTGCTGGGTTTGACTTCCTCAAAAATTGTCCTCCTCTCTTGTATGCTGATTTAAAGAACCAGTTCAATATTTTGAATGACAACATCATGTCCCTTTGAGGTAACCAAGAGGCTCTGGCAGAAACCAGACCTCACTGTCATGTCTTGCCTGAATCACTAAGACAAACTAGAGAGTAGCTGTCATTTGGAGAACAGATCTCAATCACCAGTATTTGGTGGGATCAACCGTTCGTGGCATGAGTTGTGTGAATTTGCTGAAAGCTGGGTGTTGTTTTAGGGGAGTTCTTCCCATGGGGAGCTTTCTGTCAGTGGTACACTCGCAGCAGCCAGTCTTTATAATAAACACATTCTTCCAGATGCAGTTCCATACCTCTTTTGTGCAAAAATAGGTTGTCTTCTAATTGCAATAGGCTGATACTGCAGTAACACTCAGTAGGTTTTTAGAACATGTTTGAATTAGAAGATCCATTGTCTACCTTTTGCTTCTCCCAGAATTCAAAGCGCGATTTTATTTTGAAAAGCAACTCTTCTCCCTGGGAGATTTCATGTTTATGTGTCAGTGACTCCAGATCATATTTGCTCAACTGACCAAAAGCCTTTTTTCTAATTGTCAGTCATGCAAACTGAGTCAGGCTTTTTCTTTTTCATCCCTTGCCACCAATAATTAAGAGCATTTCAGAAGTGTGATCAAGTGGAAAAATTTTTCTTGCGTATGGAATTCTGTAAATAATCTGATGATACATACACTGTGTTTATTTTTACAATTTGCTATGTGGGAGATCCTTTCTAAAGAATTAAAATGCCATTTTTATACTAAAAGGTGGCTGCTATATTTGCACATATATTACATATACATTATTCACTAATGCATCTTTCGAAATACCTGTGCTAACTCTACAGGTTCCCTCCTTCCCTAACTTCCTTGACAGTCTCTCAGACAGTAATTTTGGCCATTAACCAGCAGTAGGAATGTATTTTTCTGATCTTCTCTTGTAAAGTGCAGAACAGTCTTACCTGTTTACTCTTACACACCCTCAAGTGTGTATCTGAGACTTTGGTTTGGTTATCAGTATGTGTTAAGTGCCCTGCTATGGCAGGAGTGTCTGGCTGCAAAGGTCTTCAAAGCTAGGAACAATAGAGGATTCTTTGGACTTGTGACCTTAGGTGTACAGAAAGAATTCCTGGTCAACTGTATGTATCCAGATTTTTCCTGTGTGCTCTAGAAACTTGTGTATGCCAGTAAATGGGCTTGAAGATGATTTTCTTTTGCAAATTTTGCAAAAATTGCTTGGAATCGCCTGAAGGACTTCGGCCCAGTGACATTGAGTTGAGCCCGAATACCAAGAGGGTGTGCTGCTAAGCAAGCTTGCAGAATAAATCATTGACTTTGAGATGGAAGTGCTAGAGCTCAGCATCTGCTCCTCCACAGACAGCACAACAGAGTCACAAGGGGCTGCTTCTGTGTGATTTTATCCAGTATAGCAAATCTTGTGTGGTTCTCAATGTGGCAGAATTTAAATTGTTACAAGAAACTTTGATGTTGCCTTCTCATATCCCTGTGAAATGCACACATTACGAGCTGGCTGGGTCACCATGGTTTGCTTGGTCCATTTCTTAAACTGACTCTGTCACCTTATCCTGTTGTGCGGAAATTCTCTGCTGTGCTCATTTATTTGTGTCCTGGAGGTGGATTTTCTGGAATGCACAGGCCGGGATAGATACCACTTCAGTAAGATGGACTGTAAAAGGAAGAAGCTGATACAGGTCTGAAAGAATCCCTGGTTATCCCTGATTTTCACTCTGATTTTCAGCTGTTGGATCTTTCTGTGGCTGTTCCAAGGCTAGAAATCCCAAGTGCAGTGCAGAATTCATGGGAAACAAAGGAAGTCACATGCCTGCTCTATTGTTTTTTAGTTTTTATTTATAAATGCAACCATTGCCTCATTATATAATCATAGCAGGACATGCCAGGAAATGCCAGTGGATTTTTGCATTGTTCAGGTGAGTTGGAGACTTCAGATTTGGCTTCGTACCTTCTTAGTGACAACCCTCTCTATTCACATCGTGTTAACGACACTGAGGTCAACCAGGGTGTGCAGGACCCATCTGGTAAAACCCATTGCCTCTGGTCTTTATTTACAGTGTCTTAAACTTACACAGAACTTCAGAGTAAGCAGCTTGCCTTGCCCTAAAAAGCACGCACTATGCATATAGAGTATAATGAGGGGATAAGTAAATATGAGGGAATAAACAGCATTTTCTCAAGGTCTCTGACATTATGTAGTTTTGGTGTTTATTTGGAAGGAGCCTGCTCGTTTTGTTACCTGTTACTGTGTTTACTTTAATCTATTTACTACTTCAGTTTTCCCTACCTCTGCAAGGGCAGATAAATAACTTTATCTTCTGCAAAATTCTGTTTTATTTTCTCATCACTGCGTGGGTCAGTCTTCTTTCAGTGCGTAGAGATGCACTTCTTTTCACTAGTATAGAAATTATTAACTTTTGCAGTAACTGTGCAAAAAGGTATCTGGTATCACGATAGGAGTCTTCACTGTATTAAGTGGCTTGCTAGTAGTTTAGAAAAACCAGGGCTCCTGAAGTGGTCTTTTCTTGCAACATGCATTTTTTTTTCCCACTCTTTACAATGATTAATCAGTTTAGCTTGGGGACACAATTCTTCAGAAGTTGCAGCAACTTTCTCCACCCTACCCCAAGCCCAAACTTTGATGGTTCAGGCTTAAGCTCAAAATAACAGACTGATGATGCGTTGGTCAAGGCAAGGCAATGCGCATCACTTCGCTTTGCTGAATTATGTGAAACAATGGAATAGACCTTTCAGCAGTTACCCTACTTACTCCCAGTCTTGGCTTCCACTTGGTCTAAAATGATGTCCACTAGCGCTTGCATTAATTACAGGCTCCAAAGTACAAAACCCCCCAAATTTAAAGCATGGACAAGTTAACCTGTGCAGTTGCATTTACATCATTTGAAACAAATGTTGAGTATTAATGGCTCTCTTTATCCCAAAAACACAGCCTTTTCCATAGCATCCTCCACTTTCATATATTCCAGATGAGATGGGTAGTTAGTGCATTGGAAACGGGGGTTGTTGCGGATATAGTTAAGGAATTCTGGAGCTCCTGGGACGATGATATTGTCAGCCAGAAGAACCGAGCCCTTCCTCAGCAAGTTGCATTCCTAGAAAGAAGAGAAATTGCTTCATGGTGGCTGTTAAGCAGACATTGGCTTGAATGTAACATGCTTTCATGTTAACCATGTCATGTTCAAGTGTCTGCATCCAAAAAACCCCTTCTAGTACGGGTTCAGAGGAAAACAAAAACATGGGAGAAGCTAAGTAACTCTCTGATCTTTTGTGGTCATGTTTAATATGATGACTTTTTTTCTGTTAACACAATCAGTAGACCATTAAAGATGCTGATAACATGTTGGGTCATTCAGGTGCTGAAATAGCAAATCAAGTACCAGTGGAGTTGTGCAGTTTGCTCAGTTTCCAGCTATGTCTACATGATCAGTAAGATGGAAATCAAGCACCAGTGGAGTTGTGCAGTTTGCTCAGATTTTTTCCAGCTATGTCTACATGATCAGTAAGATGGTTTTGTTTTGGCTTTCATGCCTAATATGTCAAAACTTCTTTAATATCACATTAAAATGTTGTAGTAGCTCTTAAGGTCACCCAACATACTGGTGTGTACCAGTCTCCTTTGGCCAGTCTCAGTTAAACTCCAAAACCACTAAATGATTAAAAGACATTTTCTGCACTTGTTTTCCTTTCATCTTGTACAACTTTCTGCCTCTTGGTTCAGGAGCTGGGCACGAAGCAGGGTTCGTACACAATGAAGATCACTCTGACAAATTTCTGCAAGGCACAATTAACTTGCAATATTCACTTCAAGTGCAATGTTTATCTTCAGTAAACCTACAAACCTAATTTTTACTGGTATTTTTGTCTAGTGGAAGTTGCTTATCTGAGCTTACCAGTTGTTTCAAAACAGTCTGTACTTAATCAGGCTGGTTGTTATCCTGTGTTTACAGGCAGCAGTTGTAGCCAAGACATGGGGTGGTTTTTGTCACTCCCAGTATATTACAGAAGTCCTGTTGATGAGTGTGCCGTGGAGGCTGTTTAGCTTACTGCTTTTGCCTCTGGTGACTGGACACCAGTGAACACAGTAGAAGGAATTTGAGAGACATGGCAAATACCCTCTGGTTTGTTGCATAGCTTATAGAAATGTCCAAGTGACAACATGCTGTATTTTCCACTGGTCATCAGGATTTCAGATGCTCTCTGTGTCAGGCTTTTCTAGAAGTGCATGAAAAGGAATGCTGTCTGGGCCACTATCAACATATTCATCTGAATATTTTATATTTCCTATTCACTATTCATATTGCAATACATGCCAAAATTGTACATTAGAATGTTTGTAACATCTGAGAAAATGTGGGGATCTCTTTTTCATCTTCCTCCTGTTAACTTCATACATTTTTTTTTAAGCAACTTCCTGTCACGGTTACATCGGACTGACCACTACAATGGAACTAAACTACTTGTTTGGTTTGGCTATGTTGTGAAGGTTAAGCTCCGATAAAGATGCACTACCTTTTTCCAGCAAAAAGAGCTCAATCATCCTTACATGCCGGTTTAAAAGAAAACATTCTCTGGGTAGTAACTGTAAGGAGGGAACATTTTCTTCAGCTACTGCTGTATAATTTCAATACTGGCTGTTCATAACCCCAAACAAATTTCCTTTACAAACAGCTATCTGGAGGACAGGGCTGAAATTAAAAAACAGGGGAGAGCCTGGATGAGAAAATAATGTTGTAGTCCTCAAGCAGGGGTCAGAAAGTAGTTGGCAGGTTCTCAATGTAAGAGACAGCCTCAAAAAAGTGGATTTATTTGTGAAGAAAATAATTGAAAAATGACGTTTCCATACAAATAGTTAGGCAGTTGTGGAAAATTTTATCAGCCTGTAGCTCCAAAGCTAGGAGATTGTCTCTGTGTGCCGTTGATAGATACAGATGTCATGAATTGGTTATTTAACACTTGAAAATACCTTCCCATCCAGAAGTCCTCTAGTAGTTAGCTCACCTATCATTGCCTACTGTTGTTACAGCCAACTTGTTTTGTAATGCTAACAGTAATGGTTAAGGCAGGTTGGGAAGTGTAATTTTTCCACATTCGGTGCTGGAGATAGAGTTGGAGAGCACTTCCCTAGGAAGTGCCTGACTGGGGCAGTCTGCATTCCTCTGAAGGTTGCTTTGCAGCCAATTAATTAGGTGATGTAAACACTCCCAGAAAGATGATATTCAGCTGTGCTACCAAAACAGCATTTCATCAAAAGGCTCTGCTGGCACCACAGACGCAGGCAAAAGAAAAAAGGGGGGTACTGAGGAAATTGGAGAGGTAGAGCTGGGATATGCAGGTCCTAAGTCTCACCTGCTTCCAGGATCAGGATGTTCTTGGGTCAAGTGTTACTGACCATGCAGATATTCCTTCTAGGAAGCATAAACCCCGGACCATACACTCCTCCCACTGGGATTTCTACTGCAGACCCATTTGTTCAGGAAAAAAAATGGTTCAACAGTATTTGCCAAGTCCTGAGCTATGTAGTGTCAGCAGTTGCCTCTGCCCTGTCCCCCAAATCCTCTTTTCCTGTAAGGTTGCTATTTTGGCTGCCACTCTTCATTTTATAAAGGATGAGGTCCTTCATAAAGAATATACACCTCACAGACATCAAGGCATTAACTACTTTACTTTTAAGACTGGAATTGTGCAAACTGACCTGAAGCAGGATGGTGTCTGGTGTGTATTTGTCTTTCCAGTGGTCCAGGAAAACAAAATCCAGAGTATCTACTTCATATTTTTTCTTCAGCTGGGGGATAATTTCCTCTGAAGGGCCTTCTAGGATTTTTACCTGAAATGCAAATCCATCTGATGAATTGTGAACCATTAAGAAAAAGCACATGCCTCTAGCTCATTTTAAACTGTGGCCAGGCATCAATGATCCTGTTTATAGCTCAATATTGCCTCAGTTGAATTATTTCATAGAGTTAGATCAAGAGTACTTTTTTCTTTTTGACAAATCAACCCAGTTATGTTCCAAAATATGGGTTTGGGGTTTTTTTTAAGTCATATCAGAAAAAGTGACCTGTTGTTACTGTTGGATAATGTGATTCTTTACTGGAAACATGGGAATCTCTTGTTGAAAACAGTACTCCTAATTACTTTTTTAGTTACATCTCAGTTGAATCTCATAGTCCAAGGGAAGCAAAAATACAGAGAACAGGTTAGTTCAAAATAAAGATGGAGGCTACAGTATGTAAAATTGATATGGCCAGTAGAGAGAGGAGGGAGGACATCTTCCTCGCAGGTTTATTGGCATAAGCACTGTTAAACTGAAGGTAGCTGCTGCACATTGATTTGTACAGCAAGCGCCATATACTGTGAGTGGAAGAAAAAAGCGGTAAGGAAATCTGTCTGGTTTATGACTCATAGCTGATCAGGAGATTGAATCAGATGGGGAAAATGCAATTTTAGATGTCACTAGTACTTCAGGTTCTCTTCAAGAAGTTTGAAGAAATGCATTAAGAAATGCATTAGAAGATTTCATGGTGAGATTTATTTCCTCTAGTTTTATCATCTATGTTGAAGCAACTTGCCTAGTCAAGTAGACAGGATCTAGTCAGGCATGAATCCTCCAACCTGTTGTAGATGTCTGACTTGGGCTGAGGCAGATTATAGACTGGAAATATCTGCATCTCAACCAACTGTACAGAGCGTCAAGACAACTCAGATTGCACAAAATTTAGGGGAATATATATTGTGACCAACTAGATTTGGGTAAGCACATCTCATCTGAAGTCCATTGCACATAATGCAACTGCTTCTTGTGACTGTGGTTCAATTTTGTGTTGTACTTAGTCTTGACACTGATTTGAACCTTTTAGTTTATATAAAGAAAACCAATATTCTAGTCTAGCTTTTGGGAGGTAATATAGTGAAGTCCTCAGCTGTACTGCTGCGAGTGGTCAGGGAGTGTAATTAGGCATGGAGCTGGTTAAATTAATAAGGACTGTCAGTGCAAGAAAAAAAAGAATAAAAAATGTCTATGAATAAATGTTGGATGGAAACCACAGAAAGGCTTCTGATTATCAGGAGGAGGAATCTGTGGGGCAGTCTTGCAGTTCAATAATTGCAGTAAATCTAACCAGTTTTGCAATAGTAGTTACAAATTTTAGGAAAAGGACTGTGCATGCTGATGTCCTGTGACTATAAGTGAAATAACTGACTCTGGAGCCTCCCTCCAGGTCTGTATTCTTCTTACAGTCACTGTGGGTTTTGAAAACAGCTCTCGGCACACAGCCCGTCTACTGTACTAACCAGTGAATAGTGACAGGCCAAACTGGAAGATGAAGCCTAAGTGTTTTCAAAATGTTAAGGAGTTATGGATGTATATGATTGTTTCTGGTTTTGCCCCTCTGAATCTTCATCCTGACTCACATAGCAAAGACCTTTGGAGAACAGCCCTGATTGTTTTGGTCACACGCACACACAGCTTGACAAGCTTTGAACTCGACCCTGACTCTCAGCTGGGTCTGTGTTGTACCTGGACCACTGACTGATGCTAATGAATTTAGCTCATTTGCATGGTTGCAGATGACCTTGGTCCTCTGCATGGACACTGGTAGCTTTTCCCTGCTCTCAAGCCTGATGGTTAAACTCTGCACTTAGGGTATCATACTTGCTTCACATGTAAAAACCAAATTTAAACCTATTATTGTTGTTTCCATGCATAAATTGCTTCCTCATACCAACCAGAGAGAAATGGCATTTACCTTATCTTGTACTCCAGCAAACTCAATAATCTGTTTAGCTATAGCAGCAAATTCTGGGTTGAACTCCACAGTGAGAAGACGAGCTCCTGCCTTCAGTAGCCGAGCAATCCTAACTGCTGAGTAACCACAATATGTTCCCAGCTCCAGTGCAACTGATGGATTGACCTCTTCCACTGTCTTGTCTAGAATTAAACCTGCATAAAATGGGAATATGTTAACATTTGACAAAATCAAACTGGTTATTTACTGTTTCCTTTGCAAATTGGCTTATCTGTGATCAAGTTGATTACGGACATTCTAAGTTTCAAAATGCAAACTTTCAACTAAAAAAAAATCTTACTTAGTTTCACAATATAAACATTTCTGAGTAAGGAAATGCCTGAATTAACTAAAATATTTATAGTGTCACAAGGGAAAAAATGCAGTGGTTTTTTTCCAAGAGCTTTTTGCAGAAACTGGCCATATTTGCGAAATATATAACTCCTGAATTTTGAGTGCTCATATTTGTTCCAAATGTTACATGCAATAGTCTGATACAAAATTTCTCATACTAAATACTTGTTTTTAAAGGGAAAAGTCTAGTTATAAAATTGCAAAATATTTGGATTCACTAGATGAATTTGTGGGATAGAAAACATTAGTCAATTGTTAACCACAGAAAAATATTCCCCAAAAGAAGCGAGTGTGCTACATCCAGTCCTTCTGAAAAGAAAGATTTATTTGTGAGAAAACTGGTCCTCTTACTTGTATGACTAGAAACTAGATAACTAATCTGAAAAAGTATTTGAACAGATTTTACTCTAAGCCATGAAATTTTTCAATGTACATATACATTGCATTAAGTGATATTTTCGTGGGTATCGTTTGTTTATGAATAGTATGATGATGATCTTGAGATCTGCGGTCAATCTCGAAATCTTAGGAACTAAAGATTCATTAACTTTGACAGCCCTTATCTGAGGAAAAGTCATCTTGTCAGAGCAAAACTAGACTGAAATAAAAGAATATAATCCCAAATGATCAAAGTTTAGAGCTTTAAGGATTCCTATTCAGCCACCACCTACTATTCTGTTGCCCTAAGCACCCCAGCCTGGTATGCAGAGAAGCTAGTTTCACAAAATGTACCCATGACAGAGAAGCATTTTTATTACAATACTTACAGTTGTATTTCATTAGCTATATTAAACCCAGACTAAGGAAATTTCCCTGCAACTTCCCAGCAAGAGGTACCTTTGTGTCTAATTCATAAGGGAACAGGTTAACATTTTGCCATTACAGTTTTTTTAAAAGATTGACACTTTCCTGCAGCGAAGAAAAAAATGTTTTGACCGCATATTTTCCTTTAAGAGACAAGAACAAGATGATTTACTCGCTAAATAGCTGCTTTTGTGTATTACATAGGTAGGATTTCTCCCCTCAACAGTAACTTATGCTTGCATATACAAAATTCATATAGTTTAAAACACTTGTTTTTTTTCAATTTACTCTCAGTTAAGAATCTGAAAGTACTTAACATAATGAATTATGCCTTAAGGCTAACCCGTATAGGAACTGAGGTATAACGCAATCCTAGATATTTTCCAATAAATTGTCACCCTCTGCTTACACACTTGCAATGTACACAACATAACAAACCAAGATTTGGTCCTATGACTTCCTGGATTACTCACTGGATAGCCCTCCTCAAAGACATCTGTACGAGCATGCATTGCTGTTTACAAAACCACTCTGCTGACCACAAGGCTGTTGAGGATATTTTTTGCAGCAGCAGCAAGTTACCATGTGAATATGTCCTGTACTATGCTAGTCTTGAAGGATCTTTCAAGTGCTGATCCCAGTTGCAATTACCTTTCTCATCGCCCACATTCATGGCCCACTCCTTCTGGGAGCAGTACTTATCTATAGTGTCCATCACACTACAGGGGTCTCCTCGGACTGCATTCTGCAGCACAAAATTTAAAATCCTCTGTTCTTTGCTCTGATTCATGACAAAATTGATTATTTTCTCCCGGATTCTTTCATTCCAGATAAGGGCAGCAGTGCTGTTTTTCCTGATGAGCACCACCAAGAGCAGCAAAATGAAAAGCAGGGAGAAGACAATGAACAAAAGGACTGAAGAGCTCTCCAGCATCTGGAAGGAAAGAGAAAAACAGCCCAGGGTTAAGGTGGCACAGGAGAAAGCTATCCTTTTTGCAAATATTAAGCTGAATAACCCACAACCAACCGTACTGAACAGGAACACACAGAGTTTAATTATGGTGTTGTCCAGAGCAGCTGAAAATTACTCTCGGTCTCACTTGGTAATGGATGGTACTCTGTGGCACTCCCTTTAGAAGCCAATTTTACAGGGAGTCAACAAGTAGCTTTATTTAATGCTCTGGTCCCTTCCCCCACACAGCTGCTCAGTCCCGGCCCCAAGCATGCCACTGCACAAGGAGCCTCTCAGCATCAAAGCTGTTTGAACCATTTTTCAAAAGACTTAAAATCTTAAATTAGAGCCTGCATGTGATCACACTCTCCTAATTTTTGAGCACTGGGAAACTTCTAAGCTAGCCTTGGTAAGAAAATACGGAACGTCTCACCCTTTAGTTTTGAGCACAGTATCAGCCGAAACTGGGCACTGTTAGGTAACATTCTGCTTCAAATCAGTCTGCAGGTCCTAAATTACTACCTTGCATGCAGACCTCTTTGATAGCACCTGCCCCTCTTGCATGCTCTGCAGAGTAGCTGAGCTTCATGTTTCAGCAAAAGGTACCCAGGTGGAATGGTTTACAGAAGATAGTAGCCTTTCTCCTGCTTATAAAACCTTTGATATGGGCCATCAGTTCGATACCTTGGACAACAAAAGATACATTTTCTTTTATAAAGTAGGAGTGTTTTCTCAGTGGTTATAGAAGCATAAAACTGAATCCCTGAATCAGAGAAGAGCCTGGGCTTGTGAAATTGAAGAGATTAACAAAAGGGCACATTGTACTTCTCTGATGGGGCAGCTCAAATTATCTGATGGGATTGCACCTATTCTTATTCTCCCCCTGAAATTCAATGTCATAGCTGCAGGTGCCTATGTGTGTGCAGCATGGGGTGGTGTGTGTTTCTGTTTGAGAGTTTGAGGCATCTGAACATAAAGCTCAGCAGATGGGATGCATGTCACGCTGTACAGCTCAAGCAATAAATCCCATCAAAGCCATTTACTTGGATGGATATCAGACAAGCCAGTATACAGGGAGGTGCATTACTTCCATGCAAGAGTCACAGCATGAAAGATCTGATAAAGAAAGGGTTCTTAAAATTAAGGAATTGATTTAGCCTTTGAGAGGGTGCCAAACTAAGGGTTGTGATTTGCCTGAGGATTCTCTGCATGTGAAGCCACTCCCATACAACCCAAACCACATCTCATTTCTGATGATGTAGCTTATAACACCTCTACTTTTCCACCTCTGCTTCCCACAAGCGGGGGCTGACAGTTGCACATTGGGAGTAGAGCATAGATTGGAATGTGCTCCAGTTAGTATTGGGATGAATGAAAGCCAAATTAATTTGTTCTTTAAGTCTAATTAGGCATTTGAACACAGGTCTAAAGGATTCAGAACCAATTGCTTAACCTCAGCAGGCTGGCTTGAGTTGCACTGGTTTTTAAACTGTTATTTTTGAAGAACACAACCCTCAACTCATTTCAGTCTTTGATTCTTTCTATTAAGTCTCTTTCTCTTCCAGCTTGCTAAAAACAGTGAACAGCTTCCACTTGCACTTGTATTTATGTTCCACCTACCTGGATTTCAGCAAAACCATTGCTCCAACAGGAGCTACAACATCAAATTTTGCCTAAGTTGCCCAAGACCAAAGGTAAAGTCAAGTATCCCCCAGATCTCTTCCTACCTGTTCTTGCTCTCCCTTTTTGTTTCTTTCCCCCAAAATTGTCCCAGGGAAATCCTAAATTTTATGGGTGGTCAGACCTCCATTCTGTAGCGGGACTTAGCACATACACATCACACATGGGAAAAATCTATCCCACTGCTTTAAATTTTGAATCATCATGCAGAACACATTTTGCATTCAGAAGATGACTGAGTTTCCATGGAGATACGCTCAACCTACAGAACAGCCAATGTTTGTTCACCCATCCACTTATCTTAGTTGCATAGCAAGTATGATTTGTTTGGAGCGGTTGAAAGTCTATTTCTATTGCTTTTAAGTAGTCACCAATGTTAATAATTACCTTTAATGCTTTCCTTGCAAAGTCTGATTGGTTTAACAGAAAAGCATCTCTCTAGCTTCACTTGGTTTTCATGACTTGGTTGACTGTATGGTCATTGTGATTGGATTTGGATTACTGACATAGTTGAGAAATAATTATTCTGAACTGCAATGAATGGATGGAGCCCCAAAACCATTTACTGATGGCAGCAGGTATCTAACCTTCCTGCCTCTGGACAAGGGAAACCACATGAGCCCTGCATGCCAGTGACTCACTTGGTGGCAGTCCAACCATATTCAGGTCCCTCTAGAAATGAAGACCGTTGGCATTCAGAATTATTTTAGACTACTGCCAGACATAATCCTCTTGTTACAATGGATACTTTGGCATCCTCTGAGTACAACTTGCCACATGCTGTTGCTTTGGCACTACGAGATTCTGCTGGCGTGTTTGGGGCTGCCCTTCAAAGATCTGTCGGACAGCAAGAATGGATGCTGCAGGATAAACTAGATGGTCTATTTTTTGAGGAACAGCTTTCCTCCTTTATTGCTTAGTATAGATATTAGACCATTTGGTGAGATTTCTCAAAACAGGGAGAGCGAGCATTGGTAGGCTAACTCAGCACCACTCCCTGTCCTGCAGCAATGCTGACACTTCTTTTTCAGGCAGGGAACAGACTGTGAAGGCTTCTCTACATACCTTAACAAAAGGACCTGCTTGACAGTAAAATCCTGCCCCTTCATTTTCACATTGCTTCCCAGGTGTGGAAGGGTATGTCAGCAAACCAGATTTCCATTGTCTTATTTTCCCATGCTGCTACAAGCTTTATACACCAAAATTACAAGACAGCACATGCTCAAAAGCCCACGTACTAAAGAAGACAGCTTCTTCCTTGTCTGCAGGCTGTGAAATGCTATTTCTTTATGTGTCTCTGTTAGCCGGAGCAGAGAAAAGCACTCAACTCTGATTAGACCTGCTGATTTTTATTAACTTAGCTGACATTTAACAAATACTTCACCCTCACCCTTACTTGGACAGCAGTATTGTTTTGAAGATTTTGTTGTTTTAAAAGAGTACACTTTGTGCAGAGAAAGATGCCTTGTTTTAGATGGACATGCCCTATCTTTTCAAAGGCTTAGATTGTATTTAGGCTGCTGCCACCCATGGCAGGTGCTGCAGCGTGACATCCTGATACTGAGATGCAACTAGCTTGATAAAAAGGTGTAAAGTGGGATATGCTTCTGAACCAGGTGGATAGCCATCGCCTTCTATCTCTTCTAGCCATTCCTTATGCAAAAGCACGAGCAGGCTGGCAGCCCTTCAGCTTGTCTGGAAGGGCAACAACTGATAGTTCTGCTGGGCCACCTGGGAAACAAATTTTGGATCTTCAGCTATGAAATCTTATTGCTTCAAGTTTACCCAAGAACCCCCTCTGAAGGCAAAATACTGACCTGCATTTCCCTTCATGTCTCTTCGGATCTAGACTGGTGAGTGGCTGTTAGCACTTGTTTGTTTACACATTTTGTGTAACATATTTGTCAAGAAGACAAAAAAACCTATACATTTAAGCTCAAAAGTGTGTGTGATTTGAGGGTGGTCTTAGATCTAAAACTTAAGCAAGGAAGCAATTCAGCTTGGCCATTCCTATGATCAAGCACTCAGAGGGATCCATTTCTTACAGTGCCTCAGTTAGACCTTTGCACACCTGAATTTCATGTGAATGTTACCATATGTGACAGCAGAGCCCACCTGCCTCCACAGATCCTTACAGGTTGCTCACAGGTAGCAACAACCTATATAGTACATGCTGCTTTTTTCCATTCCTAGACAAGTTTGTTTGTTTTTGCTGTATCAAGGAAGTTTTTCAACTGTGGGGTTTTTTTTTAATTATTATTATTGCTGTATAAGACCCCAGCACCTTCATAAACTGGCAGCATGCGTTGTTCTTAGCAGCGCTCCTTTAGGAGGCAATTGTCTTGATAAACTTTTAAAAGGAGCAAGCCAGACATCTGGTTTCTTTTCCTTTTTTTTTAACCAGTTTCTTTTTCAAAGTTTGTGTCTCTCTTAATTTTTGTCTACTTAGGTGTGAAAAAAAAATTTAGGGATAGCAGTAGAATGCAAAAGCAGCCTGCTAAGAGCAAGATGCATTGGTGATGGTCATGCATCCAGAGGGGAAAAAAAACCACAAACCTGTACCAAAATAGGTAATTGCTTTCATATTCTTAGCTGGAAAATATTTGATATGAAAATTAAGTGCATAATTCAACCAATTTAAAACTACCACTACCTAAGAGACAGTCATGTTATGACAGCTTTGGAAAATGCAACTGTAATTTTAGCTTTAATGTGGATTCATGAGATTCATTAAATATGCAATAAAACTGAACTTGCACATAGTCAAGTTTCCCATAACCACTTATTACAAAGCAGTCGCTCTTATTATTTAATGCTTGTACTGAGGTTCCAAATACACAGGTTAGCACTGCAACCTCTTTTGTGCATTAGAAACACCACAATAAAGTGAGCCTTCGCTTTGAAAGCTAAAATTTGAAGTAGAAAATATTGGGCAAAATGAAAAATTGAGCAAGGGAATAAACAGAAAACTGGAGGGATAACATTTTGGAAAGGAATGAATAACACGTATCACTAAATCTGTTTTTGAGAAGACAGAGCTTAAAAAAAACATATTAAAATTTCATGCCCAAACCTGTCAAACTACTGATGAGTCTTCCTAAAGCACTGGGTTATTTTATTATGCCTCTAATCTTACTCGTTTTGGCAGGTTTCGTAAGACCAAATCATAACTTGATAATGCAGTTCAGCAGTTTCCCCCTGATGCAAAGCATAATCAAACGATCAGCATTCAAATGAGTACCTCTGTTTCAGCTTACAGAGATTTAAATGGACGCTTTTAAAGAGAGAAGCAAACACAAGGTACAGGAATCTGCTGCCCCAACGTACCTGCCCTTGAAGATAAAATACCTAAGTCATTCCAATGGTTATAAAAGAAACCTCAAGAGACTGGCTCAGACTTAGGGATCTATTATTACGGCAGTAGTTGTTAAGTTAGGGGATTCACTACCCCCTTACTATTACATGATCCCCAGTTTTTCTAAAAGCACAGAAATGCTCATGTGATAGAGCACAAAACAGTACATTCTGTTCTTTATTCTTGTACAGGTGACTCCAGCCATTTCAGCAAAGGTTACAGTAAGGATCTTTCAGTAATGCTAGTTATCAGTCCTTCTGGTAAATTTTTCCAAGTACTGTTAAAAAATAATTGGCCTTAGAATTCCCTGAAGTGAAAAAATAAGGATTAGAACAATTGGTAACATCAGTTTTTAAGGTAACTCCGAGCAACCCGATGAATTCAAATTGAGATTTTTCTCAGTGTTTCATAAAAACTGTATGAAGTTCTCATAACACTGTTAAAGAAGGTGTACAAACATTTGATCTGAAGTCCTGATTGCTGCTGTTTCAGATTCCAAAACAAGTTCCCTCTGCTAAAAACTTATATTTACTGAGAAGAAAAATGAACATGTTGAAGGTAAGCACCTTTAAATGCTCTGAGTTTTAGTAAGGGCACATATCCTAGTGAGTTTCACACCTAGTGGATTAAAAAAAGTATCAGATTTGATTATTTAACTGTTCTGAGGCTTAGTTCATTACATTATAAGTAATTAACAAGACTTCATTTCCTACAGATGCAAAAATAAGAGCTGGCAGGTATTAAAACACTTGGGAGGTTGAAAAAAAATAGAAAGTTTTTCTAACAAAAGTGAATCCTTATAAGGCTAATTACATAAAATCTCATTACAATTTTAGCTTAGATAAATTGATATTGCTTTGCTTTGTACTGAAAATGAAGTCCTAAACATAATCACAAAAAACCTCTCCCACAAAGACAGCATGTACACTAGACTGCTATTCTCCAGGACTGGAACGAGAGTAAATTTTGTGATCCTGAGTATGGGGACTTAGGTTTGAGTCTCATTTTGGCACTATTATTCTGATCTGATCTTGGGTGAGCTCTTACCTACATCTTTGTTGCCATAAAAGTTAAAGTTACTGCTACTTCTGTAACTTTCAAGGTGTTGTAAAGCGGAATTAAGTTTTGTCAGAAGAGTCCCTGCTATGGATAACACCTGCGAAAACGCTAAGTGATTTTTATCTGCATTAACTGAAGAGATTAATTTTGGGATACCAAGACAGCAAATGCTTATGTAACATTATTATTTTTGAGTTTATGAACAACAGGGAAAATGTGGAGACCAACAGTGCTTCAAACACTTTCCTTAAGTGATTTCAGCCTGCTGACAAATCAGGCCTTTGAGGAAAGATGATGTTATATCCAATCTTGCTATAATTTTTCATGCATTTAATCTATCTGCCAAGTATTGGTTGGTTGTTTAAGAGTTTATTATGAGTCTCCAAGCATCCAGACAGTACTTTAGCATTCTGATGCTAAAGGGTTTAGAATCTAATTTAGACTTTATTAGCTCACATAACCTGGTGAATGGGGAGTGCTTGGTAAATTTATACCATTCAACCTTTTTTCACGAAAGAATCTCTCCATCAGTCTGATGGTATCGAGGATAATAGAAATGGTCTACAATAGTAGAGTGCCTGGGGACAGTGGGGCCTAACTCATTGCAGAGACACTGCTGCTAAGTCTGCAGAGCGACGAATGTTATAATGCAAACAATTTTCTAGAGGCTTTTTACAAAGCCCATGCAAATTAACAGATTAAACTCTCCCATACATGTACCAGTGTGAAGGAGGTAGGTGTACCCCCTGTACTTAGAAACGGTTTAAAAAGGGTTAAGTTCAAATTCTTTAAAAGCTTCTTCTGAAATTATGCCTTTAAGTATCTCATGCACTAAAGTATGCAGAGGATCTGCATATTAGTAACGATATATTAGCTGTTTAAGAAGCATTGCGAAAACAATGTCTGTTGCTCTGCACTAGGCCAGAGGAGATTTGTGCTGCACCATGACTGGGACTGGAGTTCCTGGCTCTTTGTCCTATGCTGCCTTAAATGAGGCAATCTCTGTTTTGTGGCACTGCTTTTCTTGGTCTTTTCCCAGAGCAAGAAAAGCAGGGTATTTTGGTCAGAAAGTCTAAACTAACTTCTGCCAAACATTTGTATCCCATTGCTGCTGTAGGAAACACAATTGAGCAGCTTCATATTTTCGTATTTTTAAAGGTCAAAAAAAAAAAATCCTTTTACCTCCTATTCTTTTGCTATTGTTTATGTATTTTCAAGCGAGTACAGCACTGCAAAGAATAATCAGCGTATTGCCAAATGTGAATAGCTTGTATTTCAATGGAAACTTAGTCTGGCAGTTTGACACTCAGATTTTCCACTGACATAATGAAAACAGGCTGAAAAGACTTTATATAATTTTTCACTAAGTATTTCTTGCATGAAATCTAAATTTCCCCCTTCCTAGGTTTTTTCAAATTACTACAATTTAGCTTCATTACCATGACTACAAAAAAGCAAAGTTCTGATGATTATTTTTTTCCCCTTAGGCCTTTTGTCTTTTCTTTTCCCCTCTTCTCAGGCTGAAAGGGAACAAATACAGGTTTCTTCTTACTGAATGAAAGGAAAAGAACAGAAAAGTGCTGTTGCCTACTAGGGAGCCCCATCAACTAAGCTTCATAAGGGTGTTTAAATCCATTCTTCCCAGGTAGATTTCAATTAGGATAATTGCTACCCACATATAGCTTCCTTCACAGTAGCCATTGTCTAAGTGGTATTTGGTACTATGACCCAAAGGAAAAGGTTTAAATAATGGTTATGTGCCCCATAAAGAAGAGCAGGGTTTAGAATAAACTGGCCACACAGGCAGGCCTTATCTCCATTCAACAAGCAGGTCTGCGTGGATCTGTAGTGTTCTGATCCAGACTGGCCTAGTGAACACACTGCATGATTAAAAGCAGTATTTGGGGCAAGAAAATTCTTCAAGGGTAAGAAATGCACTTTACTGAGCCTTGAACAGACAGCTTTCCAGGAATAAGATCCTTTCAGGTACGCCTAGGAAGCATTTGTTTCCGATAGTCCTTATTCCCACTCCAGAACTCTAGATGTGTTTGTACTATTTGTACCAGTGTTTGAGGCCAGTGGTTGGCATCGCTGACCTCAATTGTACAAATCCCACCTGGGAGGCAGTGGACTGCTAAAATAAAAAGTGCTCTGCCCTGTCAGCACACTAGGAGCTGGTCTGTAAAATGTTTTCTCAGCTGAGATTTTTGCATTACCCAGGGGGGTAAAACAAGCTCATAATTAATGTTTTTTGCCTCAGATGAAGGTAGGCAGAAAGGGCTGGAAGAGGAAAGACCAAAATGTCTAGCTGCCCTCAGCATAGTCACCTGTGACAGACCTATTTCACATTCTCTTTTTAGATCCAGGGCTGAATCCTCAGTGTCCCAAATCCCCACTGTGTGCTCCTGCCCTGCTTCCAAAGCTACCAGCTAATCTAGTGTAAATCTGTCTCTCTCCCAGCGCAGCTTTCTGCTCTCCACAAGCTGCTCTTCAGGCCAGGGGGAGCACACAACTGAAACTTGGTAGTGAGGACACCCACTGAGGGATCTGAAAGAGTAAGAAGGAAATCGCTGCTGAAATGTTGGCTTATTTCTATGGAAATGAACAGCTGTAACAGGCCAGGCAAAGTGGGATCCACCACAGCACAGCAGGTAACCAAAGCACTGGGTGGGAAGAAGTCAGCCTGAGACACAGCAGGGCATGAGACCTTGGTCTCAAATCCTGAGTGAACGCCCTCCCCAGAAAAGTAGCTGGAGTGGGCATAGAGTGTCTCTTACTTTAGCTAGAAATTGCTTTCTGAGAAATCTCTCTTGACAGAGCTTTAACAAAACTGGTATGGATGGCCTCATACGTTAAGATCTGGTTTCAACAACTGCTGCCAAAATTATGTTTTTTCAGAGATTTCCCAGTCAGTTCTAATTCCAGTGATCCTGAAGGAATGCTGAAAGACAACAGTGTGGGACTGGCAGAGGTAAACCTGATACCAGCTGCAGGCTGCTAAGAAATATTGCTAAACTTGAGTGACAAGTAAATTGTTTGCAGTGTTAATGTGGTTAAACTCTTTTTGTCTGCTGCAAACTAAAGCTGTAAATCAGGAACTTTTTCTTTTGAATTTAAATACTGCAGTGCTGTGCAAATGCATGAGATTCTGAACCTGAGGGCTTTGTTACAAGAGTCCATGGCTGAGTAAGCAGAAAAAAGTAAGCTGAAGTGCAGAGATGAAGGAAAGGTTGTTTATGGAGATCACTGATACGATATGGGGTTGACAGTATTGGTAAATACGCGTTTGTTTTTAAAGGACAGAAGGTACAGAATGTCTGTAAATGGCATCAGAAGGGTACTCTTAGCAGCAACAGGACTAGCAAGCAAAAGCATTAGCTTTTTGTCTGTTTTTCACAGACATTTTGCTGTAGCAGAACTCCCTCTTGAGAATGAAAACCCCCATAAAATACAGCTGCAGCAGCAAATTTATAAAAGCAGCTATTCAGACAAATATGACTGAACTAAAGCTTGACTTGCATTCAGCTTTTTCTTGAATACAAATGAGTACCAAATTCCAGCATACTTATAGCCATAAATTACATTTTCAATTTAGTCAGGGTTATCTCATCTCACTTCTTTCAACTGTCAAGGTTTACAATACAGTACAAACACATTACACACAAATATGTCCTGTTCTTTCTCGGTGAAAGCCGTTGCTGCCCACGGACTGACTTCCTGACAATGAGTACCAGTCAGAATGTGGAAAACACCGCTTCTTTCATATTCACCACCGTTTAAAATAGTGACATTATCTAAGATAACAAATCATGTCAAGTCTGAGAAATAAGAAAACATAAATATGTACCTTTCTCAGTACAGCAGAAGCTGTTCCTTCCGATCTTTTCCTCTGCTGCTCTGATGTGGATTTTATAGAATAAGAGTCCAAGAGCCTGCGGTATTCAGTCACATTCGATCACATCACAGGAATAGCTTATCAGTTCTGTTACACAGGCTCTAAAAGGAGCGGTGTCCTTTTCCCCAGCTCCTCCTTTCATAGATTTCTGCACTCCTTAAAGGTGCTCAGTGCTCTAATAACCTTAGAGAAAGCTATTCATCTGTCCCCTAATGACAGTGTTCTTGTTACTTAGTTACAGCACAGTGAATGTTGACAAAGTCAGGTATGAGCCAAATCTGTGCTCATTGTAAATGCACTGTGGTCAATCAAGCAACTCCAGGAATGAATTTGGCCCAAGGGATTTAGTTCTTTTTTCAGCACAGACGTGGCATGCTAGACAGTGCAGAAGTCATAGAAACAAGTCTTAGGCATGTGAGTTAAATATAGAGTGCTGCTGGGGGGAGGAGAGGTATGTACAGAAATTGCTTAACAGCAACTACAGAAAGAGGTGCAATCGATACATTATAAATAGTACACTTGAATTTCTATGGCTTCTAGTTGGAAAAATATTCTGCTACAAAGAGCTCTAAGATAAAAGAGGCAGCTTATTCTAATAAACCTTGTTCTTGGCTTGACTGTCTATATTGTTTCCTTTGAGGTGGACACAATATAAAGCTCCAGTTAAATTGCACCACAAAATAGTACGAAAAACCAAAAAACAAACACAAAGTCTGTTGTGTTCTCACTACAAAACTCAGACCTAGTCAGTGAGCATTTGAAGTTCTAGCCTAGAAACTTTTTAAAGATTCAAATAAAGTATTTGTATCAAATGTGATAGAAACGGGAGCTGAAGAACTGAAAACAGGCTTTGTCACATGAGGGGGGAGGTCCTTGAAAGAATTGGGGACTACCTGAGAGCATGACAAGAGAAGAATAAAAATTTTTAAGTGGATGAATTGAATAAAGAATTGTGGGGGAAAAGAGGTAGGTGAAGATCAAAGTGGTTTTAGTAATTCTAAACTAAGACCCTGCAATATAGCATAGTATCCAAAGTCAATACAGAATAACTTTGAAGTATCCCTTCCATGTGTAACAGAGCTTTAGCTCAACAAATATTTTCTTAGAATCCAGACATCAAGCAGAACAAGGAACGAAATAAGCAAAACTGCACTCCAGCTTTACTGACAGTAATTTCCTGACTGGTTGAAAGCTGGTTGTGAAACCATGACAGGTTGTGTCTGCATGATCCCTGATGCCACCCACAGTTAAAAATTAACTGATAATTTATTTTACTGCTGGACTGTGGAGAAAAGAGCTTAAAACAGTAAAACTTACTCTATGCACTGACCTGGTTCTGTAAGCATACAGCTATTCTTTGGAGACGTCCTTGCAGTTAACTATAGCTAGCTGTGAACTGGTGGGTGGTATCAGCCCAGCTTCTGCTTAGCAGCACAAATTAGTGCCTAGATTTACCAGACAGTTCTAAAGGACTTCTAACTTTGAGCTGAATCATATTCTTCAGGCTAGAAGCATGGGAGGAGCAAACTTGCTTCTGCCTGCCCACAACTGTTTATTTGTATGATAAAGGGTATGCCTGCAAAGTAACCCTTTCTGTTGTCTAGATATTTCACTGTGTAAGTAAAAATGGTGAATGGCAATAACTGCAAATTAGATAAAGCCAGAAGCTCAGTTAGTTAAATCACCCAAACTGTGTGACGATGTCCATAAGTTGTTTCCAAAGTAATAGGAAGTTGAAATTTTGTAATATGTTATATGGGGTAATTTTTTCTCCAAGAGAAGTTGCTTTGGTAGGCTGTTAGACATTGGATTATGCCTTTAACTTTTTGCCCAAGACAGGATCTGTATAGGTATGGTTATTTTTGAAAGTTTTTACTAACAAAACAACAACGCTACAAACTCGAGTGCATAAATTTATATGCTATTCACATGACTTATCCTTGCCTAGATAGTAAAAATTTACCCTGATATTAATACATTCAGGTTACAGAACTGTGGAGAGCTATAAATGTATTGGTGTAATACAATTTTTATGTAGGGACAAGATCTTAAAAGATGGCTTTGGTATTGTAGAACGTCAGGATACTACATTCACAGGGCATGTCTATGGGTAGGTGTAGACCCAGGATGTCTTAATTTGGGAGCAACATCACATGAATGGCAATAGGTCAGAATAACTGGCTAGTTCAGACTGGCTCGCTCTGACAGTTGGCAGAATTAAGCTCAGGTTGTCTGCACAGACTTGCGTAGACTTGCTCATGTACAGACCTCCCAATCTCAAATGGAGGCTATACAGCTGCAAGCACATGATGCAACGTGCCAGTGCTATCCCCACTTGCTGTGCATAGCAGAGAGCTAAAGCTTCCCCAGTAAATCCATGCCTGGCATAACAACAAATGACATTCCCTTCTTCTAATAATCCTGGCCAAAGACTGGTTTTTATAAGCCTAAACAAAGGGAGACAGGAGAGCTAGCACATTACCATAAATCCCACAGATCATGTGAAACACTGAGTGGAAGAAAATTCTTTTGAGCTTGCATTTTCAGAATAGCAGGAGGGATTTTCTTTTATGTGATTTTGCTGTTTTCAACAGTCAAATTAGTTTCTCTTGTTGAGAAACATGGAAAAGAGGAATTATGAGAAATGAAACACCACTTGTATGAATCAGGAAACTGCCTATCTATCTAAAATAGGAAACAGCTAAAAGAATAGAAAGATGGCCAGCAAAGTTGTACTCTAAAATTCAACAGATTATACAAGCAGTTAGATTGTTTTGTGTTTACTAGGCATCTTAAAAGGTTATCATGTAGACTGAAAAAAAAATTCCTGCTTTCAAAGACTTTGTAACTCCTCATGAAAACTTTGAAGCTCAGTTAAATCTACCATATTTCTGCTTTTCTCCACTTTTTTGGTAATATACGTTGAAGTATTTGAATGAAGTCAAGAACCTGTGTTACTTGAAGGTTCATCTGTTTCTGCTGGTTTCCCCCCACACTTGCAATCAGTTAATTGTTTAGGACAAATTATGAATAGAAGATTCTGTATTAAGGAAGGAATAAAATGGCATAGATTAAATTCTGAATGAGTCCTACTCTCAGACAAATTTCTGAAAGTAAAAAAAAACCTAACAAAGGGAGAAATAGCAACAAAGCTGAAATGTTCAACAATTTTTGTTGGTTTATGAACCTATGCACAAATGTTTCCAGTGAAGGAAACATTGTTAGCTGAAGGATGTATTCTTTGTAAGAGGATGTCCTTTGGGGGTATTTAGGAAATATTAGAATGATGGGTTTTCTTTTAGCATTACATTTTTAAATGGCATTTAAAATATGACCTGATTTACAGTAATTCTGTTACGTGTGTATGTTTCTTAGATTTAGCTTTTCTTTAGTTGTTTTAGATACATTTACAGACCCTACATAAAAAATTATTAGCTAAGGGGATGTATTTGTCTCATCTTAACAAAATGTTGTAAGCTTTTTAGACTTCACATGGAAACCTGTTCACCACCTTGATCTCATAAACCAAAATTAGTCATTTTCTTCCTTTATCAGTTTGACTTTTAACTCTCCTAAAGCTGGTTTTGTCAAAGCTCTTAAAAGCAGATATCAAAAATGCAGAAAAATACAGCAGAGTTGGATTGTAAGCAAACAGTCACAGATTCCTTCATGCCAATGTAAAGCAATACCCAACAAAAAGTAATGTTGGAAAATTCTTACTACACATGTCAGTTAAGAACCCTCAAATAAAAGTGGTAAAAGTATTTCTTTTGTTTACACAGGATCTGTGCCTTCGAACAAGGGTCCTCACTTGTTAGCATAATCCCCACCTTAGAATACTATCCATATATTTAGTAATTTGAATCATGCTTTGAAAAAAACTCTAAGGGCTGGTAACACCACCACCACCACCACCCCCCGCTTCCATTTATTCTGTCCTTTTGTAGCTCTGGGATATGGTTCTCTCAATTGCCGGGGACTATATAGCTATTTCAACTTTTGTATTCACCATTTCACATGCATTTCTTCCACATGCTTTTCTTTCCCTCCTCCTTCCTCCGTAAAACTAAGGACACCATGCTACACACTACCCGAGGAACGAGATAGAAAGAAAGAAAGAAAGAAAAAAAAGAGTACAATCAATCACGAGAGATGGTAAGAAACCAAAAAGTCCTACCTCATGCAGAGACCTCTTAGTTCAACCAGTGATCCAGTACAGTTCACTGACACTCCTGTAAATTATTAATTAGGTCATGCCACAAAATGCAACTTCTGATAGACATTTCCCACCTCACCCACTAAAAAAGAAACAACATGATGACTTCCAAAGATGGTATCTACCTGACACCTCTCTTCTTTCCCCCACCCTGCCAGGTCACTAATCTGGGAACACAAGACATAAAGCAAACCACGCCAGAAAAACAGGAAAGACAGGAAGATGTCTTTGAAAAGTCAAAATTTGTAAAATGTTATGTAGAAGAGGTATTTGGCCCTGGTTGTCTTCATGAGGAAGAATTTAAGCAAGCCACTGATAAATGTAACAAAAGGTATTTCATACGAAGGAAAAAAAGTACAACATTCCAAGCTGTCATTATAATAAATTCAAAAGGAGAAAGTCTGCCCGTTAACAGAACCAATTCATGCCTTACAAAACCCCTATTTTTGTTGAATAGATTTATATACGTTTCTGAAATGTATTACAGTGGTGTTTCCTTTGCCCTTTTAATACCACACTGTTTACAGTACCTTGAATACACATCTCCCCCTGGTAATAAACCAAACCACATCTAATATATTAAGTTAATTTATGACTTAAATATAACTAGCTACAACTGAGAAAATTCTGTGGAAATATGATGGTAAGTCTGATAGCTATCTTGTAAGAAGTTTTTTTAATCCTAAGTATTGAAAAAATATGCTTTGACTGCAGAAACACAATGCTTCATGTAAATGATTCCTGATACTAGAATATATTTGCACTAAAGGACTTAATGCTTGCTTTCTTAAAAGAAATCTATATGTATATTGTTTACATATGAAAAAATATGTATCACAAATTATTCTACGTATGTCACTAATTATTTTTATCAGCTTAATGCTAACCACAAAAGAATTAAAATAAGAGAGTAGAAGGCTATAGGAGATGAGCCAAAGACATTAGAAACCACACCTGATAACCAGAATCCGTCTCTGGTCCCTGAGAAAAATTTTGGAAGTGTACCGCAGACACACATGCTCAGTGCTGACTGCAGCAAATATCAGTGGCTACTCCTCTTACTGATATTGTGACCATGGGCAAAACCCACTCCTCATTGCTGATATTTGCCTCTATCGGTCTCAATGATCAAGCTTGTGAGAATGTGCAAGAACGAGCAGAGCAGCATTACACAGACTTTGTACTTTCTTCTGAACATGGTAGGCCCGATGGGAAAGCCTTAGCCTGTGGAACTGCACGATGCTGTGAGATACAGCCAGAGGGCTGGTGACACCCCAGCTTCACATGGTCTGCCAGTGGCGCAGCAGCAGCTATGGATAGTTCTGGTTCCCAGAGGCCATAAGGATGCCAAGTGAAAGCAACTGACTCGCTTTCAAGCTAGAAAAGACAGGGTGTGTGCTGATGTGTTCAGGAACACACAAACACCTAAAGCTACAGTCTCACCACTGCTGTGTAGGCTGTGGTTCACTTAGTCTCTGAGCAATAAAATAATGAAAACAAGCAGTAATGCTAGTGTATGATGTGGCTGTAACAATGGGCACTTGGCCAAGATCCTATCCTTAAAAGAATTTAGAAGCGTTACTCTAAATTTATCATCAATTCTTTCCTAAATTGCCACTGTAGGTGCTGTTTAAAAGTAATGTTTTCTATCAACATCTTTGCTACATTTAAGGCCTTTCCTTATTAGCAAAATACCATAATGCTGCAGGAACATTTCTTCATGTAAACTTGTTTTGTGTTTGGGGAGATTTAATTCTACCCTTGATCCTACGCGTCTGAACTAAATGCTCTGTGAAGAGCATATGCTCAACACTGCCTCATTCAATTCAGAATAGTAGCTAAAATGAACAGCTAAAACAACTTTGCATGCATGTACCTGAAAAACATAAAAGATTAGTATCTGAATATGCTTGAGGATTCCTTAGTTCAAAGGCCTCACAGTACACTCTAGTCATGTCTTTCTGCTGCTGCTGCAATGAGTGTGTCTAGTGATTTATTGCTTAGTGCTGCAGGAGGCAACAGAGAGGGGAGTTGCCTTTTATTTCTTTTTTAACAGCAGTGATACTGGACAAATCATCAATCCATTTACTAAAGT